ACAGGACTGACATTTCCCTGCCATGTGCATTATCAAATAAGAAAGAGAAGAAAGCATTTTAAACAGAAGAAAAGCTTAGATGCCCAGGAGAGAGAAGCCGGTGAGAAGTGCACGAAGACAGCAGTAACAGCACTTCTCTAGCGGGCAATGGAGAAATGATACCAAAGCCATCATATTGTTTAGGAATTCAACAACATAATGTAAGAAATGTACTTGGCCTGCTGTCTGATACACAGAGCTGAGTATAGTAGTTAAGAAAAAAGGAGATTATATACCAATTTCTCCTCCAGACAACATATAGTTAACAACATAACATAAATTAGATCTTTTCCAAATATAGTATTTTACTTTTTAACCTATATCAGAAACTAGGCCATAAATAGATTAATATATTAAATAGGTCATAAATGTATTTGTTAATAGATAAATTAACAAAATTTATTTTTAACACTGCATTCCAGTCTACTTCCCTCCTTAAGAGTAGTTTTTCTATCCATCTCTGACAATTTGAGGAAGGTGCAGGTGCACATGGATAATACAGACCAGATAGTGAAGAAATTACAAGTAAAATTCTAGAACCAGATTGCTGGTATCAATCAGACCCTGCCTCTCTCGAGCTATTGCTTCCTCGGTATCATCTGTTACCTAAGTTTCCTCATCTGTAAATTAGTGTAAATCACTCTAGCAGGTTATAGGATGCTTCTAGTAAGTATACAAGTAGAAATTACTTTATTATTACTTATCAAAATGCTTAGAAATTCAGTTTTAAGTTCATTACACAGAAGGCTAAAGCAGATTTAGTAATTTAAAATAAGTATCACACTAGTTCTAAACTACAAGATAATTTTAAATAAGCTAATTTACTCTTCATACAGCTGTCTTAAAGAAAATACCATTTGTTACAAAGTCTCCTAGTGAAAACTTAAAGATAATGTCTCCATGTAGAGTTAAAGCAGTTTCTCAGCCGGGCGGTGGTGGTGCACGCCTTTAATCCCAGTACTTGGGAGGCAGAGGCAGGCGGATTTCTGAGTTCGAGGCCAGCCTGGCCTACAGAGTGAGTTCCAGGACGTCAGAACTACACAGAGAAACCCTGTCCCGAAAAAAAACCAAAAATAAATAAATAAATAAATAAATAAATAAATAAATAAATAAAAGAATTAAAGCAGTTTCTCAAGAACTTGAAATGCAAGTAAGTTGTAGGTTCTGGGACTAGAGATTTGCACATTCCCGTACCTAAAAAGGATGGAGGGAAAGAGCATTCATAGAAATCAATGTATATCTAGTCAACAAGAGGATAAGGAAAGGGAGTTTTGCAATACCATCCATACAGCAGCAAAACAACAAAGAACCAAGTGTAAGGCTTCCAGAATACACAGTGTCTCAGTGTGCACAAGTGACATGTGGGTCAAACTGGTGAAGAAATGTCAGTTAAAAGAGCAGAGCAGGCTGGTTAGTGCTAAGAATGGGCAGAGCTGCCATCCATATAGAGTGAAAGTGTAAGCCACCCAGAAGCCAGAGCCAGCAGGGTCCCACTGTGGGACCACTGCACACAAAGAGGTAAATCTTACTGCAAAGACCTCAGACTGAAGACCAGCCGCTCTCTTTTTCAGCTCCTCCCCTTGAGCATCTTTCGAACTTAGCTCCTCCTTCAGTTGTTCTACCTGTCACGAAATTGTTATTGTTTTTCACTCATGTGCCAACTCAGGTCTTCATATTATCTGATTCTGAGCCACAGTGACCTCCGAAATAACAAATAACTTACATAAAATAACCAAAGTTGTTCCCCTAATCCAATTTTCAAAGGCATATACTGTCTCTATCTCACAAACTTTTAAAAAAATAAATGGGAATATGCTGATCATCAAAAAGAAAGTAAAATATAGATTATGAGACAGCATATTTTGCCCTAAAATCAGGGAAAAAATTCACACTAACAAAAAATTGGACACATACATTTTTAGCTGAAAAATTAACATATTATTAGCATAAATCATCAATAATAGCCTCGTTTTTACTAACAGAGGAAAATTCTATAGACATAAACCTGATTACAGACACCACAACAAGAAGCCTGAAAAGGGCAGGGAGTCACATCTGTGTCATTCTTTGGCAGTCAAGTATGGGGATGTTTTAGTTTTCGGTTCCAAAGAACAAAGAACACAGTTGCTGTATACATTTGGGAAATGCAGTGAGTAATACTTTTCTAGATAAAATTTCACTGTTAAAATTATTTATTTGTATATTTGTTTATTTTAAGACAGAGTCTCACTATGTAGCCCTGGCTAGCCTGGAACTCACTCTGTAGACCAGACTGGCCTCCAAGTTGCAGCAGTCCAGCTATTTCTGTCTACCAAGTACTAGGACTGCAGGCATGTGCTACCATGTCCAATTTTTATAATAACTATTTTTAATTAAACCACAATAAACCAAATTCTTCAATTTTCTTTAAATAGTTTATAATAACCACACTGATGAGCCTCCATGCTGACTAACTTACTGTACACATGCCTAAGGAATACATAGGAAGCAACGACCCTGGTACCAAATGAGCCCCTCTAAGGGAGAGAGCAAAGGCCCTTTATTCTTGGAACTTGTTTAAAGGAGAAACATTTTGCTTGTTTTAGAAAAAACGACTCTCAGGGGTTTGACTTAAAATATTTCCCAAAAGAAGTAGTCTTCTACAATAAGAAATGAATGAGCTATCTTCTACAGGAAGAAGAATTAATCAGAACAAAATTCCATCAAATCATTTCAGAAGTTTGTACAGAAATAAAAAATTAAACTGTAACAACATGCCCTTAGTTCTTATTTAAATAAAAGCTTGCAATAAGTAAATGGAACCAGTAATGCTGACTTTATTTCTAGGACATTTCAACATGGAAGACACAACAACAACAACAACAACAACAAACCTTCTTTAAAGTCTATTAAAACATAAAGCAGATCTTTACCATCACTAACATAAAAAAGTATATATAAAATTTTCAAGTTTCTGGGAACTAAAGTATCTGTTCCATACCTTATTTTTCATAAATTTAGAGTGGCTCCTGTACACCTCCATTTGTTTCATCTCTTCCTCCCGCTCTTCAGTACTCAAAGCTCCATTTGATTTCAGCATCTGAATTTCTTCCTCCAGGTCTCGGAGCCCACGCTCCATGGAAGAAATTTTTGAATCCTAGGACCAACAGAAGAGTTGAGCATTAAACTATTAACAAAGATTAAAAGTAGCCAAACAGAAGATACTGCTGATAAAATTACCCATGCCCTGAGGTCAGTATTTCTATTTTGGTCAAGCTTCAAGAATGCCATATATAGCTTGATTATGGTAGCCCTTTTTGTCCTGGGAATACTTTTATTCCTGCCCATCATGTCAAAGCTTGTCTTTAACAACATCAACACGTTGGCAGCCAAAGTGCATGGCTTAAAACTGAAAATGGATCTCCAGACAGAGTTATTAAATTAACAGGCTTGCAAGCCTATGACGGGTAAGATTTTGCACAGAGCCTAACCAACCTAAAACATAAGCGCATTGCTTTTGATAATGCATATTCCACAACAGGTAAGGAAGGCATTCTTGGCAGAACAACCTAAGGCAGGCTTAGTCTTGTTTATGAAATAAAAAAGGTAGAGAGGCTTTGGGGCTGCTTGCCAAGAATCTGACATGGGCCAAGGACAAGGAAATGGGCTTCAGGCAGGAATCTCACATTAGGCTAGAACAAAGAAGCAATTTCAGGCAGGAATCTAAATCTTAGACTAGAACAAAAAAGTAGGCTTCAGCATGAAAATGATTTTGGGCCAGGACAGGGAAGTAGGCTCAGGCATTTTGGCCACCCTGATAAGCCCTTAGAAATAGTGATCACAGGAGTGTTCACGGAATTTTGTTTATTGTCTTGCATGTTCTTGGCTATTTGTGTTTATTGGTTTGCTTGTTTCATTGACTATATGCATCTACTGTATTGCTAGTTCCTCAATCTAGAACTGACGTTAATACTTGCATGTAATTAAAGTGGTATAAAAGCAAAAAGGAGGCGGGGGATGGATAGGGGGTTTCTAGAAAAGGAAAATGGGGAAAGGGGATGACATCTAAAATGTAAATAAATAAAATATCCAATTAAAAAAAGTAGCTGAATAACGTGTCTCTCAAATTTCAGAAATTAATAACAGTAAATATACAGACAAGCTGCTGAACAGCACACGGGGAGGGGAGGCCTCACCCTCACAATGCCCACACCTCTTTCTTCCTCCAGTTACGAATCTTTCAACTCAAGCAGACAAAGTAAACCAGAGAGGCAGAAGCAATGGAAAAACAGCTACAGGTTCTTTGTACTTTATGATCAACACATTTCTAGTGAGTCAGGGGAACTATAGGTAAAGCATTTTCTAGTCCTAATGCTTCACCACTCAGTGACCTTTAGGGGTCATGCTTCTGCCAATAAATAAGAGAAATTAATACAAGTTTAAAAGAATTATACAATAAAGTTTTAATTATGTATACAATATAATTATCTAGCATTCCAATTGCAGAAAAATTCAAGAGTGAATAATTATATCAATGGTTACTTTTTATATTTTAGAAAACTTATTCTCTGAACTTCTGGAATATATGTGAAATATCTATAAAATGTTTCCATAGCACATGTCTATAGTCCTGGGTATTAAGAATAAGACAACGAGAGGATTACTTGAACCCAGGAGTTCAGGGATAACTTAGGCAATATAGTAAGATACCCTCCCATCTCAAAAAATAGTTAAATTAAATAATCAATCACTGTTCTTGTAAACTATTACCACAAATACCATGCCCTTGCATTATTTTTCTATTCTCAACTTCTTGATTTGTTTGTGACAACATCTAAAATAATCCTCAACTAACTTCATATGTGATTAATTACAGCAAACCATCTATATGAAACTATATCTACATGGAACTGTAAGTCAAACTGTCACAATAAAGGAAACCAGAAGACCATGTATCTAATAAAAACACTAGCAACACCACCTAACATCAATTGTTTAATATGTGCAAGGTCCTGTTCTAAACATTTCACATGTTTAACTAACTCTCTCTCTCTCTCTCTCTCTCTCTCTCTCTCTCTCTCTCTCTCTCAGACCTGAGGTACAGAGAGGTTAGGAACTTGCTTCATGTCATTTATCTGATAAAATATAGCTAAACTTTAAATCAAAGAATTTAACTCAGACAGCAAACTCTTACAACTCCTGGAGAGTCCTAACTTATTACTAATTTAAAATAGTTTTTCAAAAATACTATCTTCCAATTCTGGGGTCCACTAGACATAACAGTCTGCAGGGTGAAAGCTATTTTCACATTAATCCTACAATTATAATTGGATCTTTCCAATGTGTTGATATTTACACTTGTAAAGGAAATAATTAGTTTCCTCTCAGTCTCCCAATTGAGCAAAGTATTGTTACCTCCTTCTATGCATGTACAAACGGTCTAACCATTTAAGAGTAAATGGTGACTCCAAAATTCCTCATAAGAGTCTCTCTTACCTTCATTTCAATAACAGTTTGCAAGGCTTTTGTCTTGGCAGAATCAGGGGCATTCTCAAATCTCCGGTGCATCTCCTAAACAGAAGCAGAAGAGAGTCAATGGCTGCCTTTAATGCCCATGTCTTTTGGTTTCACTTTGCAGCTCTGGCTAGCCGGGAGCTCACTATATAAACCTGACTGGCCTTGAACTCACACAAATCACCAGACCCTCTGCCTCTGCCTCCCAAGTACTGGCAATTAAAGATACGTGCCATCATGGCCAACCACTCTCATGCTTTCTGAAGTGGGAGCTGTTAAAAATAACTAACCAAACCTCTGTGGTAAGTGGACCCTTCCTTTGTCACAACCTTACTGGTGAACCAGGGAATCCAGACTGACTCAACATACAACCTGGAGGACCCCTGGCTCTAACTAGCTATTTAAAATGAGACACAGTAATACCAACTACTACTGCAATAGTAAAAAACTATCATCTATCACTAGATTGATGTATCAATAAGACTTGAAACCAAAATTACAGATGATCTAAAAGGGGAAGAGGGTGAATAGGAAAGATTCCTTTTTAAAACGAAGAAATAAAGGCCACTACAGCCAGCCTGCACTGCATAGAGTTGTTGAAATTACCTCTGTTGACAACATCTCTACAGCATCTACCTCTAGAGTAACAACCACCTAGTTACCTATGATGAAAACCTCCAGTTGGGCTCCAGGGAGGCAGAAAAAGTCTGTTGGACAAGTTTCTATATATTTCAAAATCAGAAAACATAAGACAGCTTCCTTTTAAAATCCAAAGTATAATGAGTTCAAGATAGGAAGAAAGGAAGCCAGACATGGTGGCACATGTCTTTAGTCCCAGAATTCTTTCTAAAAGAGACAGATTATTGTAAAGAAACTAAACTTTTAACATGTTTGAAGTTGTAAGGCTGTGGAATTCTTTAAGTTTGTAAAATGTTTTATATTGTGACATTGTTATTTAGCCGAGACAAGAGCATGAAGAATCTGACCGGACTACACAGAGAATTGGGCCAGGACAGGACGAAGAACAAGAGTCAGGGCAGAAAAGTTAAGGGGAAAGACAGGGAAAGGAAGAGGAAAGAAAAGGAGAGATGGGGTGAGAAAGGAGAAGGAAGAAGAAAAGAGAAGGTGGGGGCAGATGGGAGAAGAGGAAAAGGGACAGGGAAAAGGAAGGGAAAGAAGAGAGTTGGGGAATAGAAGAAAATGGAAAAGAGGAAAAAAGAAAAAAGATAAAAGGAAAAAAAGAAGGGGAAAAAAGAAAGGGGGAGAGGAGAGGAAGGGTCAGTGAAAGGGGAGGACCAGAGGAAAGGAAGAGAGGGGCAAGAAAGAAGGGAAAAGAAGGAAAAGGAAAAGGACAGAAATGGGAAAACAAAAGGAACAAACGGAGGAGAGAAGGAAGAAAGGGTGGGAGGGAAAATGAAAAGAGAAAGAAAAATAAATGAGTTATGAGTAGAAGCCAGGCATGGTAGCTCATGCCTTTAATCTCAGCACTCAAGAGGCAAGGCAAGAGGATCTCGATGAGTTCAAAGCCTGCCTGTCTACACAGTGAGACCCTATCTTCAAAATAAGTATATATTTTTTTTAATTAAAAAAAAATATATGAGGGGGCTGGAGAGATGGCTCAGTGGTTAAGAGCACTGACTGCTCTTCCAGAGGTCCTGAGTTCAAATCCCAGCAACCACATGGCAGCTCACAACCATCTGTAGTGAGATTTGATGCCCTCTTCTGGTGTGTCTGAAGACAGCTACAGTGTACTCATATAAATGAAATAAATAAATCTTTAAAAAAAAAAAAATATATGAGCCGGGCAGTGGTGGCACACGCCTTTAAGCCCAGCACTTTGGGAGGCAGAGGCAGCTGTATTTCTGAGTTGGAGGCCAGCCTGGTCTACAGAGTGAGTTCCAGGACAGCCAGGGCTACACATAAAAACTCTGTCTCGAAAAACCTTAAAAAAAAAACAAAAAAAAAACCTTACGGGTAGATATACTATTTGAATTTCCATAGTTTCTAATATAAATAAGAAATATGTTATCTCCTCTGATTTACCAAAGAATGGATAACCTGAAGTTTGAGAATAAATTAAGAACAATTTGTGCTTTTCTTAAGTAGTTTCTTTCATTTTTAAAAGTAAACAGGCTGGGGATTTAGCTGAATGATAGAGGACTTAACTAGCATGCATCATGTCCTAGGTTCAATCTCTATAACCATAAAATAATAATTCTAATAATAATGGTATATTAAATCACACTACAGCCTTTGGCCTAGCATGCACAAGGCCAATGCCATAAAAATATGCTGATTTTATCAACATGACTGAAAGAAGCACTTATGACTGAAAGTAACACTTAAAAGTTCTGAAGTTTCTATGAACATAATGGAGCATATGTCCTTGTGGGATGGTGGAACATCTTTTGGGTATATGCCCAGGAGTCGTATAGATGGGTCTTGAGGTATAACTATTCCCAATTTTCTGAGAAACCACCAGATTGATTTCCAGAGTGGTTGTACCAGTTTGCATTCCCACCAGCAATGGAGGAGTGTCCCCTTGCTCTACATCCTCACCAGCATGTGCTGTCCCTTGAGTTTTTGATCTTAGCCATTCTGATGGGTGTAAAGTAGAATCTCAGAGTCGTTTTGATTTGCATTTCCCTGATGACTAAGGACACTAAACATTTTTTTTAAGTGCTTCTCTGCCATTAGAGATTCCTCTGTTGAGAATTCTCTGTTTAGCTCTGTACCCAGTTTTTAATAGGGCTATTTAGGTTGTTGGAAGTGTCTAAATTCTTGAGTTCTTTATATATTTTGGATATTAGCCCTCTGTCAGATGTAGGGATGGTGAAGATCTTTTCCCAATCTGTAGGCTGCTGTTTTGTCTTAATGACGGTGTCCTTTGACTTACAGAAGCTTCTCAGTTTCATGAGGTTCTATTTATTAATTGTTGATTTTAGTGCCTGAGCCACTGGTGTTCTGTTCAGGAAGCTGCCTTCTGTACCAATTTGTTCAAGGTAGTTCCCCACTTTCAGTGCTATCAGATTTAGTTTTACATTGATCTGGTTTTACATTGAGGTCTTTGATCCACTTGGACTTGAGTTTTGTTCAGGGTGATAAACATCATCTATTTACATTCTTCTACATGCAGACATCTAGTTAGAACAGCACCATTTGTAAGGTGTTCGCTTCTTTGTCAGACTATGTTCATAGCAGCTTTATTCTTGATAGCCAGAAACTGGAAACAACCTAGATTTCCCTCAGCTTAAGAATGGAGAAAGAAAACTTGGTTCATATACACAATGGAATACTCAGCTATTAAAAACAAGGACGGGCTGGAGAGATGGCTCAGTGGTTAAGAGCACTGACTGCTCTTCCAGAGGTCCTAAGTTCAAATCCCAGCAACCACATGGTGGCTCACAACCATCTGTAATGAGATTTGATGCCCTCTTCTGGTGTGTCTGAAGACAGCTACAGTGTACTCATAAATAAAATAATAAATAAATCTTTAAAAAAAAAAAAAACAAGGACATCATGAATTTTACAGGAGTGATAGACCCAAAAGGACATGCATTGTATGTACTTACTAATCAGTGGATATTAGCCATAAAGTACAGGATAACCAGGCTACAATCCACAGACCCAAAGAAGCCAAATAACAAGGAGGGCCCAAGGGAGGATGCTTGAACCTTTCTCAGAAGGGGAAACAAAATAAATATTGGAGGTCAATGGAAGGAAGAAACTGGATAGGAGAAGGAATGGGAAGGGCAGGGGTCCAGGTACAGGGAGAGCAGGGGAAAAATTAGTGATGGGGGGCACCTCTAAGATATGCCAGAGACATGAGATGGGGGAAGGGGGATGCCCCAGGGTATCAATAGGGGGTACTCTAGCTGAGACTCCTAGCAGTAGGGGATATGGACCTTGAAATAGCCTAGTCAGGCAGGACTCCTAGTGGAGAGAAAGGACAGCAATCCACACACAAAACCTTTGAGCCAAAATGTATCCCGCCTACAAGTTGTGCAGGGACAAAGGTAGAGCAGAGACAGAAGGAATGGTCAACTAATCACTGGACCAAATTGAGACTCATCCCATGGGCAAGAACCAATCCCTGACACAATTAATGATACTCTGTTATGTTTGCAGTCAGGAGCCTAGTATAACTGTCCTCTGAGAGGCTCCATCCAGCAGTAAATGGAAAGAGATGCAGAGACTCATAGCCAAACATTAGATGGAGCTCCAGGAGTCTTGTGGAAGAGTTGGGGGAATGATTGAGGGACTCTGAGAGGCTAGGGACTCCACAGGAAGACCCACAGAGTCAACTAACCTAGACCCTTGGGGGCTCCCGAGACTGAACCACCAACCAAAGAGAAAGCATGGGCTGGACCTAGGCCCCCTGCACATAGGCAGCAAAAGTGCAGCTTGGTCTTCATGCAAGTCCCCTAACAACTGGAATGGGGGCTGTCCCTGACTCTGTTGCCTGCCTGTGGATCCTGTTCCTATACTGGGCTGCCTTGTCTGGCCTCAGTGGGAGATGATGTGCCTAATACTGCAGTGACTTGATGTGCCAAGACAGGAGGTGATACCTAGGGGGTGCTCTCCCTCCTCAGAGAAGAAGGGGATGGGAAAATGGGGAGAGGAATTGTTTCAGAAGGTACTAGTAGGAGGGGGGGGGTTAATATTGGAATGTAAAGTGAATAAAGTAATAAAAAATTTTAATTAAAAAAAAAAAGTCTGAAGTGTCTCTCTTTTCAAATGTCAAGTTCAGCCCTGATTGTTCTTAGGTCAAATGTTTGTAAAGTCCCCTGACACAGTCAATCCTCCATGTAAGTTCTAGAATGGAGTACTGTATTCACAGAAGAGATAGAAATGAAGGAGGGGATAAAAAGGCTCCTCACTAATTGTTTGGTACCTTCTCTCATCCAATGATGAGCAGTGTAGTTCCATAGCCATTTGCCATCCCTAGCAGCTACACTGTACTGAGGAAACCTATCTTCTTGACAAAATGGAAATAAGAGAAAATGACATACTATAAACAAGAGTAGGAGAAAATATCTGAATAAACAAGGTATTTA